GGGATAAGATGGCAGCTCGAAAATCTAATCCAAATATAACAGGGTGAAGGGAGAGATCGATAACTGAAGCATACTAACTACAACAGTGCCCAAGTTTTACACATATTAATAGGGACTTAAAGATATCCTCTAAAGTTCATTATAAATTATTTAAGTTAAAAAAATTTTTTTGACTAAGAAAATCCAAATAATCCTGCTGAAGAGGTTGTGGCTTACACAGCGAAACGTTTAGAAAAATCTTGTTTTGATTTTCTTTTAAACACTCTGGGATTAATTTAAATAATTTATAATGAATCAATCTGACTCGGCGCTGAAATTATTCCAGGAAGTTCGTAACATCTACGGTCTGGAAACTTATAATCCTTTAAAGTTGTTTAGATTCATGATGATTTTTTTCAGTTACTATGCCAACAATGGTAAAAAAGAAAGTAAAGGAATTTATGAAGAACCACACTCTCAAGCATATATATTTGTTGTTGTTGTTTTTCTCTTTTTTACTTATCTATCCCTCTAATAAATTAAACAGAGCATAAACAAAAATTGAAATCACAAATAAGTTATATAAGAAGTCAACTGTGTATTATTGCATATGTGTTGTATATGGCTGGAAAATGTTAATTGACTGGCGCTTAAATCCATATTCACGTGGATGGATGTATTTACACATTCATTCAGATATATAGATTATAATACGCTTTACGTTTGACAATCGAAAAAAATGTATTATTCAATAAATAGTTTATAAATAACCTGAAAAAATAAGATTAAAGAAAGTAAGTACCGGAAAGAAAAAACGAGGTGAAAACTCGATTTTATAATCTTCGATGTAATTTCATGGGGAATGATCGACATGTGTGTGTGTGTCTGAGCATGAATGTGCTGGTATTCTTCTCAATTATGATTATTATGCACATACAAACACACGCAACAGACAGGGCATTCATAATATTAGTCTATGATGTATTTTAATAGTAGGTTTCTCTTTCTATCCATGAACCTGGAGGTAATTTTCGAATTAGATATCTTCTTGTTTCATCATACACAAAAATCAATATGGAAAACGGTAAAGCTGGAAGCCACCACGTAAACCTAGAATGTAAAACAAAAAATCAAAAGAGTGAAGTAAAAATCCCACAATATATATTATAACAACAGATTTATAGTTAGTTAGTACAAATTTGTAAGATACTCATGAAATGGAATGTCAGCCGAGGATATTACCTTGAATCACATTTATGGTTGACGAGTATTCTACCACTGAACCACCACCGATGTACCGCCAGATGCTGACTACTCTTTTCTTAATGATACTGATTCTGTAAAGTAGGTGATAACAGCTCCGAAGTATTGACCTAGGCAATGCATGACCATCTTATAATCAATAGATTATGTCTTGTTATCCTGATACATAAAAGATTTTTGTCAAAGCTGGAAAGAATTCCATGATTCCCAGATTTTAGTTTTGTTTATCGTGCTAAAGAACGATGCAAGACAGTTCTCGAGCACTTGGTGAACTCAAGTCACGTAGCTCCACCAGAGTAGTCTTTTAAAATTATCTACAAGGTGAGGCCATATGGTACAAACGGCGTCAGTTTTCGGCATTTGTGCATGGCGGAGGCGTTGGCAGTTCGTCAATACAACCCCGAACTCTGTGTACAAAGAAGAATTTGTCCAGTCTCTTATTCTACCATGGTCTTAACCTCTTCACTAGTTGTTACCTGCACATTTTTAATTTTACTTTTAGTTTGCTTTTGCTTTAATAGTTAATTCACTATTGTCACTCGCATATGTTCCTTTTGTACATTTTCTCACCCTCTTCACACTTGTTAAATTGACACTCAACTACCTGCTTCTCACTCAATAACCCTTTCTGCTTTTGTGCCATTTAGTATTACGTAATTTATAACTTATAGTTTTACTTTTGAAGTCACTTCTGAGTAATTATGTCAATTACGTCACCTCGCCCCGATTGCTCATTAATGGACTACTATAAAAAAAAGCATTAAAAATATTACATACCTTAAAGGCATCATACGTAAGGCTTGATCTAAACCTGGACAATAAGAAAGGAATAAAGCTAGTGCTGTTTCAAAATATAAGGCGAAATTCAAGTATTGATTCCACATTCCTTGTTGAAAGACTGAATTTCGACGTGTCTTACAAATGATTAAATCAGCCCATTGAACAATTACAATAGCAGCAAAAAATGCTGTATGGCAAGTGTACTCCAAGCGTTTACGTTGACTGTAAGTCTGGAAATTAAGAAAAAGGATATTTATACATAACTATCTGACACTAACAAACAAAGAAAACATTTTGAGTGTTCCCTTCAATAAGAGAATTTTCATTTCAGCTTATTTATATTCATTTCTATAATGACCTGAGCAGTCAATCTGGTGTACATATCCCACTTAGAATCATCTTCAAAATATGTATGTACTGTACAGAAGTTCAATTTGCCTCTATTTTAATGACTAAACAAGATATAGTGGCCAACAGTAGTAGGTAGATGGCATCAAAAGATTGTAGACATTATTGTCAAAGTTATGTTGGTTAGAAGCACCTGGGAAGTGTTAAATGAGATAGATATTTCTATTAAGATTTTGAAGTTTCATTGTTACACACATCCCCTCAACTATTACCTTCACATAACAACTTATCATTGAGTGTAAACATTCATTGGAATACAATTATAATGAATTCTTTTCAGATACTTTTCCTAAGCTAACAAGAAAGACTGCCACTTTCCTACACAATTTAGATCATCAGCCAGATACGGCATAGATTAGTGTCACATCTTTGGCCTGCCACTTTTAAGAATCGCTACAAATCTATTCCAGAAAGTTGCGAAGACCTATGTGTCGGATTTATCCAGTTACCTAAATCACCAACCATCACTGGGTTACTTATTTTGGACCTGTTTTTGACTCACACTCTCATCTTATAAACTTCCAAAGGAATTATTTCACTCAACTCAGAGGTATTACACAAAGAGAAACCTACCCATTCTTGTCCATATGAATCAGCCAATGCATTGATAGCTTTTGAATCCCACTCTTTTCTGATACCTAATAATCTTTTTGGCCAAAATCCATTTTCAGCCATAATTACAAAATAAACAAAGAATCCTCCAAGTGCTTGAATCATACCAATTTGACCATATGCCATAGCAATTAAACGTTCATTAACCAACCGATCGTGTAGGGGATCACGGGGCATACGTTTCATAATATCTGATTCAGCCTCTTCATAGGCTAAAGAGATAGCTGGAATCTACAATTTTATATATATTGTATATATACAAGGTAATACGCATATGATTTATATGATGAATTAAATAATTATTTGTAAAAATAACTCGGATAAGCTTGGATTGATAGATACATGGTTGAAGGGGAATGATAACCGCATGTGGCATCTTATCTGTTTTCAGTATCCGGCTAGCATTCCGGATGTTTTAGGCACGCGTCCTGTCACAACTAAGCTTTTCATTTCCCCTTCCAGTCATCATTCATTACGTTAATTTACTAACTCTGCGGCTGATTTCATCTCCGAATAATGATAACATCTTTTTATTTTCTATATGTGAAAACGTTAAGTAATAGCTATACAGGGCATTTTAGTTTTCAGTGATTCAATGAAAACTCAACCAACTGCTAGTGTTGAACTTGGAAATTAGAAATAGTATTTGTATTTTTTTATCATAGACCCATGGTTATACTATACATCCGGAATTCATTAATCTCCAATCCTTTTATACACAGTTTCAGCTAACAGAACTTTTAAAAGTACTTTTTTCAGAAAATTAGATGTAAAATTACTTAAAGAACACGATTGGTGATACAGAATATATGATCCCCTTTGAGGTAAAACTCCAGGGAGTAGTTTGCAGATTTGAGTGACATCACTCACTAGGCCCTAGAGTAGAATCCGAAAGGGAAACGACAGGTTGCGAGTTCGAGAGTAACAAGAAGGAGGATCATGAGGGGATTAAATGAAAGTATTCATGGAGCCAGTTAAAGAAGATCGAAGAGAACAGAGTGAAATGGATATGCGCTGCTGAAGAGCTATGTGTCCCAGTCGGAATCCAAGGGAATAAGAATAATAATTTCCAAATAACCTCCTTTTAATCTTTAGGCAATCCTTTTTAGACTAAGAAGTTAGTATTTTTGGATTTTGATAAACTTGTACCATAAGGTAAATGTATTACATATGTATTACGGGTATATATTACAGGCAGTTATCCACCTTATCAACTTTACCCTATACAACGGAATACTTTAACATTAATCTTTAGATGTCATGTTCAGTCCATAGCCTACATAGTCCTAATGACTGAATTCTTAATTGTAGTAAATAAAGCCAGATATACATTAGTAAAATGATGACGATTATTGGTACATGGAGACGAAGGTGGAAAGTGCTCAGTATTCTCTGGGCATTCACCTCATCTCAAAGAAACACCAGACAACTTTAATGCATCAAAGACACTAGCAAATCACAGAAAGACAAACAAACAAAACACCGTGCTTACCATATCGGTACCAAGATCAATGCATAGAATTGTAATAGTACCTAATGGTAGCGGAATACCAACGATAATATATATTAAAAATGGTGTGATTTCCGGGATATTCGATGTCAGTGTATATGCAATTGATTTTTTCAAATTATCAAAAATAAGACGACCTTCTTCAACACCAGTCACAATAGAGGCGAAATTGTCATCCAATAGAATCATATCTGCAGCTTGTTTGCTTACATCGCTACCAGCTATACCCATGGCAACACCTAAAGTTAAGAGAATGTGAAATTCATTTGACATTTATGAAACAAAGAAAAAAGGAATTCAATACATTTTGCTTATTTTAACAAATTCGTGTTGTTTCTCTTAGGTGATCAATGAAAAACAACAGAGAGTAATGGACAGCTATTTCGTTTGGGCCTCTTCATTAGAATGCACATATGACCCACCAGGGATTGAAACCTTCAGCTAACAAGGCCATGCCTGTTTACCACTCAGTCAGTAGGACAGAATCCATTGAGAAGTAAACACCACTAGATATGTGTCTTATCTTGGGTTCAATTATTTTTGATTAATTCACACGGAGAAATTTCAGCAGAATACGAGTCTAGAAGCGACATGTTAATTCGATTTTCAGACACGTTTACATTTTGATGAGTGTAATTTGCATTGCTCAAGTAGGCTTGTGATCTGGCTTAGATAATTATCTCACTTTAATTATAATTAATACATGTCTGAATGATACTTCACAAAAAATTGTGTGTAAACAAGTTGTTTACTCCAAAGTGGTTCTGCGTCAAGAATCAAAATCATTTAGAGGAAAAACTGAAACTATAGTACCAACGTGTTAACTGTAAGAAATTATGACTTTTTAATTTTTTTTCCTTTGCTCTCCGAGTGGAACGCTGGCCTTCAAGCTGTGAGCTTTGAAGTTTCAGTATCAGTGGTATTTATTTTTTACGAGGTGGGGTTGCTAGCCTCACACCCAAGCTTCCTTCTTCGTAAAGCTTATCAGCAACTAAGCGAGGTTTAGGAGTGTGTTGTCCGGTGATCGATTAAAGACCACCGACTATGAAGCATTAGAGGAAGTGATGCTTTTTAACTTTATCCTACATGAATAATGAGCAAGTTCATTGTATAACTGGATTAAAAGTTTAAACGAAATATTTCTTTAGTACTGTTTGATTCTCAGTTATTCAGTGTTTGGAATCACATAAAAATTGCGATAAATACTGACTGAAATTCATTCCAGACTAGATTTTGTCACAAACAGGCATCCGTTTAAGGGTAAAATAATAATAATAATAAAATAATTCTCCATTGAACAATTGTTCCTAAACTTTACTATTTAAGTCGACTTGATGGAGGTACGTGACCAAACTATCTTCGGTATTCGGCACAATGTCTTGTCACGTCCAGTCGTTCGTACACAATGCCTAGCTAGTCAAGGAATAATCGTCTCTCTATTTATACATTTCCAATCCCGAAATATATCTCCTATTTTGACAAATAATTCGTTGTTTTTATTTATTTTTTGGTCGAAGCAAAACAAGTAATTTGGGAGTTGGAGGATAGAAAATTGAGTATGTATAAAGTACTCTCGCAGAACCATCAACCATCAGCATCTCTTTATCTCTTAAACGTCTTTGAATATCACAGAGTCTCAAAACATTCACTTTAGGCTGTACTCTCTCTCTCATTCGCGGATTTCGATGATTCTGCCATCTGATATCCCATTTATATCAGAATCTACACTGTGAAACAGTTAATTAAAATGCCCTAAAAAATCGTCTTGTCATTTGTATTTTAAAAGACAGAGTTATGGTAAAAATAAAATTTTTTTAGACCGCTGATGGTTTCTTCTGCGAATACTGAGAAAGTAAACTTTGTAGAGAAAAAGCAGAATGATAAGATGAACGCAAACAATACCGACTATGAGACAGAGAGAGAGAGAAACTTTAGTTTACCATTATAATAATGAGCATTAAACAAATGCTAATGAGCGATACCACACAAATAATAATCTTTTCAAAACAATAATACACTGTCACAGTAGATATGCATGATCACGTATTTATGTATGCACATACTGGTCAACAAGCATACATAGTATGGGTGAAGACAAATACCAAATACTTGAGCTCATATATATATCAGGACAGAGACTGAGTGTTCGCATGCGCATGTATTAAAAAATGATATGCATAGTTTATGATGACAAATATTCAGAGAAATTAATGAAAAATATGTATATTATAATTAAAGCGACTTCATTAAGACGACATAGTAAGTTAGCTACTCAAAGTAATTCCACAAGTAGGACAGATACAGACTAAAAGAATGAGATAAGGGAACAAAGAATATTCTTTCCTATAACTTCGCCTTCTTTTCAGGGGTACTGTAGTTTTATGCATCCATAATAATTAAAGAATTATTATTATTATTGCTATTAACAACACCGAAGTTTTGAATAACATTGAATCATTAAGGTCAAGAAGTTATAGTTGCCAACCATCTGTAAGTGATTATACACATAAAAATGTTATATATTAAATTGAATATAACTTACAGTATCTATGAATTTATATGTGCAACAGCAGGTCAAAGTAGCAAGTGGCTGGATCTGTTTCTTTTGCATACAGAGCTCCGGGTGTATTAAGCGAATTGCAATAGCCTCTACCGGACAGTTTGTTTTTCTATCGTCTACTGAATACCGAACAAACTGCAGAAAGCCTCCAAACAGCCTAGGCCATTACAATTTTCTTAAAACAACCGCAGCTCGGAGTGCAAAATAAACAGGTTCAGTCACCATCGATACGTAGGTCTACTTTTGAATTTAAAGATCCCTAATTATTTTTCCTAATTTATCTGATATTACATTTTTATACATAACGTCACTTCACAGATGCTTTCCAACTGTAATATACTGATACTGTTGATTCAATGCTTTTTAAAAAAAATTATGTTGGTGATAACAATAATTCTTTAATTATTATGGATATATATAACGGTGGAATCTGTAGAAGAGATAGTTATAGAGAAGAGTATTCTTTGTTCAGTAAGTTTAGTTTTTTTAATTTTTAATGACCATCTATAATCATTTAAAAGTGCATCTGATTAACATTTTTTCTCAATCTATAATAACTAAGATCTAACTTATGACCTATATAACCTATATATATGTAACGATCGAAATGGATGGATACTAATTCTACGGTGCTTTAAAACTAGAATTAATATTCCCTGACTGTTGTGGTGAATGTTGATTTTCCTGCTTTAATGAATTAATCATTATGGTTGCTACAACGCCAAAAGCTTTATTCACTAAAGATAATTGGTATACGTATACACATATGTACATCCACTCTCACGCATATTCGTATAAACAACTCGGATGAATAAAGAAAACAATTTAAAAAAAGCAGAAATTGCTTACTGAAAATATTTTCAGTAGTGGAAACTACTGATATATTACATATTCAGACTAGTCAGCTGTAATACTCAGTTCACTTAGTTCTGAATTCGCAGACTTCACCACTAAGCTGACCGGTCCACGACTAACAATCGGTGCGACATGGCTTTGTATGGGAGCTGACAGCTATAGATTGTAACTAATGCAGCTGTCGAGTCTTGGCAGTTTTCAAGTTTTGTTACTAAACGATGTGGTATGACACTTTTATGCAGCGTAATTCGACATCAGATGTTAGATTGCAGGCATATCTTGATAATGAACGCCAGCAAAGAGACTAGATCCGCGCACTCCTATTCAGATATTTCTTCTTCTACCTATTATCAAAATCACAGTGTGCCATAGTAATCAGTAACGTTAGTTAATTTAGCTCAATAACCTCCTCTGCATATATAAAGATAAAGATCAGGTAAGACTTTTCAATAGTCTTAATAAGTTAAGAAAGAGTGCTACAGAAATTTCAAGTAGTGAGTGAAATAATAGCTAACTGTCAGCGACACTAATAAAGAGCTGTCAGAATGACATAGTTCTTCTACTAAATATTGAACGATATTGCTACCCTTCAATTATATATATATATATTCGTTATGGTGAAGATGTTGACGAGCAGAGATGATACAATGAAACTACAGTATATATATATATATATATATATGTACTATCTATCCTTCAACTCTAAATGTGCGTATTCGATGTGTACCAGAAAGCAGTCGGTAAGCCAAATTAGAACAACAATAAGGAATACAATTCAAGAACGGTGCAACTGAGCCGTGATGCATGCTTAGTTAACTAGAAGTACGTGCATGAATAATTGAATGCAACAAGACGACAATGTGCCAACTGACGTGGGTGTTTGATCGCCTACTATCAGCTTAACCGGTTAACTTAAACAATGTTAAAAGATGGTGAAGCTGTGTAGGCTAGTAGTGTTATGGAGTCAATTACCGCCACAGATGTGTTGACTGTATCAAGACCAGTTTACCACTGGAACTAAGAGTTTACATCAAATTCAATTATCGACGGTAAAATTACAGAGTGTAATTAAAACAGGATCTCTTCAATATAGTCTAATGTTCACGACAAAAAAGAGAATAATTTGCACAAATAACCAGTAGGTTAAAAGACGATTAACAAGTCACGCCTTTGGTGATCAAAAATAAAGAGCACATGACTTTTCGGTAATACGCTGTAACAATAAGAAATGTAACAACACTATACATGGCTACATTGAAATGGCAAACAAACAAGAAATAACTATAACAATAAAGGTATTTATGGAATGCAAAAGACTACACATTCGCCTAACTAAACCTGTCACCATTTAGAGTCACCAATAATACATTTAACATTTCTCGGGAATTATACGCATAACAATTTCCAGTCTACTCCGACTTTAGTCAGCTGGATATTATGAAGAACATACTGTGGCCACCTCAAAATTGGTTCAGTTTCTTGTCAATCTCGTCAACCCCCGTAAAATTCATATAACTTTATGGGCCTGACATGATGCTATGAAGACAAACAGTGATGGTCATCGTAAACTCATAGTCCAACACACTTGTATTTCCAAATCGGTGGTAAAAAATTCCTGCTTTATTCATGAAATATCCCCTGAAATCTCATTATTCATTTTCACTTGTCCTTAGCCTCATGTTTAATCGATTTAATGTATACTAAAACACTGATAGTAAAGGAAATTGTCCACTGACATGTACATTTGTAATTCTGGAGAAGCAGTGCGAAATAGGGAAAGAAAATGTGCGAGTGTGAGAGAAAAAGCACTACAAGAAAGCTAAAAGAAAACCCTGTAAATAACCGTCTACATCAGTGTCAACCTTAAGAACGAGAATAGCCCTGTGATAAATTACATGATGACCAGTAGGTATGATATACATTTAACGAGAAAGTCAAATTCTTACAAATACATATATATCTGTACATACATCCAATTTTGACAACATACCAATATCTGCTTGTTTAAGTGCTGGACTATCATTTACACCATCGCCTGTCACAGCAACAATTGCACCTTGTCGTTGACATCCTTCAACTATAATCAATTTCTGTTGGGGACTAGTACGAGCAAATACAATTTCTGAATGATTTTTTAATATATCATCAATCTGTGCTGGTGTCATTTCACGTAAATCTGATCCATGAATAACACAGGCATTTGCTTCACGTGGATTAACCTAAGAAAAATTGAATATAACGCACACACAAAGAATAGTCAAATCAAATAGGCGCTTATTGTCATTAAGAGTACATAATAAGTTATAAAGGATGACATTTAATTTTAAAAAATAGAAAGATTTAAAAAGTGAAGTAAAATGACTCAGTTTATGTTCCTCACATACACAGAAAAGAAATCATATACGTATATGTCAAAGATGTCAACGTTAAAAGGCAAAGTGTGGCGTGTGCTACTGATAAGACATATCAGTAGTATATAAAGAGACGTTCATCGGCATACAAATACCGAATTGCAGGGAGGTAAATCCGACACCAAAAAGAGAAAATGATTCAGAGTTGCGGAGGAACATGGGAGACACGAAAAGCAAGACAAAAATACACAATTCTCTTGTCCTCCACGTTACAATGGTTTACATTCATCTTAACCTTGTTAGCTTTGAAGTGGAAGTAATCATCAAGTGAAACATACATTTTAAAAATTGTTATATCTTGAATATTATTTCCCTGGAGCACGAGTGGAACATAGTACTGCGACAAAATATCCCCTCTTCATTCTGTTGTCTACAGCTGTCCGTCGCTCGTTTCACGATTGCCTATAAGCTCTCACAAAACAATTTCCTCCACACGCCCAACTCGTTGTCTCCCATTCGAGTTCGACTCAGGCGATGAGCTGGCACGTAGTGTCATTCAACCATTTACACAGGTTTTGTCCAGTTCATCCACATCCTCTCAGGCATATTTCTTCACCTATGAGCTCTTCATTGGTTCCTCCACAGACTTCCCTCTTACTCATCTGTCTAATATTTAGTATGCAGTGAAGACAGCTGTTAATAAAATTCTGCAGCCTCTTCTAAATACTTTTCGTGACGCTCGCGCAAAGGTTTCGAGCCATAGAGAAGAACCGAATGACTTGACACTAGTGTGAAACCTTGTTCTTTATGAGATTAGATTAGAGTAGATTTCTATACTGATTCCCGATTAATGAAGGTCTGTCTTGCCTTTCCGACACTGCCTGGTTTTAACACCTTCATCCACCCGACTCTCTGCAATTGAAACGACACTGCTTAAATGAGTGAAAGCAAGTGACCCCAATCCGAGTTTCTCCCGTTGATAGTGATTGGTGCTTGATGTTGTTGTTAGTTGGTGGGTATTCAGGTGGTCATCACTTGTGTCTTCTCTATTTCCACTTGAATTCCTGTCTTCGCTGCCGGCCGCCTCTGCCTCCAGCTTGTTGATTTTTATCTGTAGAATCTCCTTTGAGTTTTATGTGGCGCTAGACACAAGTCTTCCACGAAATCCAAATCTGTCCTCAAGTGGGTCCAACATGTTTCTGTTTTCTCGCTCCTCACGTGCGGCATGCTAAATTATCCAGTCCATCACAACCAGGCATATCATCGATTATAGCAGGCAGTCTTATCTTACTGCTGATTTCACTTCAAATAAATAGTAAATCAGAATGACCACAATATAATTAAGTTAAAGTTAGTTATTTAAGTAAAATTTGAATGTTTTTTCACCTCATCTGCAAATTGATTGTTTCATGCTCTAACTAATAGTGGATAAACTGATGACTTGTATGTTTTGTTTGGAGTTAGTGGTTGATACTTTCTAGATGTACGAATTGTATAATTTAATGTCTGCACGAAGTACATAAAAATAATGGCTTTATCTTGTTTGTCCACGGAGCACATTGAACACTTATTCCTCACCACTTGCATGCTATTCAAATTTAAAGAAACTGTATCTTTAGTGTAGGCGAAACTGCCAGCAGAAGATTAAGTCATAGTTTAAAATTCGTTGTACTGATGTTCACTAGCCTCACATATTGAAAGTATGACACTGGTATAGCCAGTTAATTTTTCCTGTTAGCAGTAATAATTTATCTTGAAACCTCTGTCATGGAGTACGCCATCATACAGTATTATGACATACTACATGTTATTACCTTTAAACAGTTACTGCAGCAGCAAACACAACCAACTGCATCATTTGAGGGGTGTCATCCCGAAAACTTGCTAATTATTTTTCTCTCTGTCGAAAAGGCACCACCTTTTTATCTAGTTCAACTTTAGAAAATGAACAGTAATATAAGCCATTCACTTATTGATAGGAATCGAAGTTATGACATTGGACGATACTATATAAGATATTCCAGGATAGCATGAATGCACAATAATTATTTCTCAGCTATGTTACCTGCACAGCTCAAAAGACAATCAATAAAAATTATGCGAATCTCTACTTATCTTTGGTTCAATCTAGTTTAAATGTTTCTTTTCAATCAATTAATCTTTACACATATTCACGAAAATGAAACGTGTAATTTTTAAAGAATAGTTTCGAAAACTATTGAGCTGGTTCATTCACCAGGGGGGGTAAGTTCCAGAGACTTGGCACGTCATCTAAAACTTGTGATTGAAACTATTTATTTAGATGAATCACTTAATATTCATCCTTTCTTTGTTCAAACTAATCACAGAAACCGGATATTTTCAAGTGTTGATTTGCAGGGATTTGATTGATTACAGGTTTGACCACGAGCTGACATCAGTTAGGGAACCACTGTAACGTTAGGAAGTACTACACAGCTGTTTTTATTCACAGCATAGGACTTTTCAAGAGTAAGCACCCGGAAGGGTTTGAACCCAGGACCTTCCAGTTACGAGGCGAGCTTGTAGACCATCCAGCCTCTGAGACTCCGTCCAGTAGCCCACGAAATCCAACTTCCGCCAATTTGTGGTACATAGGGTGACCGCTAAGCAATGTTACGGCCGAGTAACTCTTGTCTTACCTGATTTAGTGGACGCCACTGGCCGCAAATTCTCACTAGAACTCTGGGTATGGAGTCAGTCGCTAGTGAATATCGTATTAGTTGGATTGCTCAGATTTGATTGATTACAGGTTTGATCATAAAATCTTTAACTGATGTCAACTAGTCATCAAACCTAAAATCGGATAACTCCATTATGGATAAGATTTTATTTTGATAAATCACACAGGGCTGTACAATAATAATAACTGATGACGTTTCGAGCGCGAACCCTAGCCAATGTCTTTGGCAAGTATTTTTCCTCACACCTGACCTGCTGCACCCTACGGGTCACGACTTCTCTCTAGAACCCCAGGTAACTACCTACCTGAATAGGGCAAGTCGCTAGTGAGCATCTCATTGATATTCAAGTGTTGGTTTGTAGAGACTTGCTCTATTCAGGTAGGTAGTTACCTGGGGTTCTAGTGAAAAGTCGTGACCAGTAGGGTGCAGCAGGTAGGGTGTGAGGACAAATACTCGCCGAAGACTTTGGCTAAGGGTCGCGCTATATCGTGAATTGGCAGAAGTTAGAATTCATGGGCCATTGGATTGGGTCCCAGTGGCTTAATGGTATACGAGCTCGCCTTGTAACCAGATGGTCCTGGGTTCGAACCCCGGCGGGTGCGTACTGATGAAGAGTCCCAAACTAGGATGAAACAATTGTCCAGCACTCCTAAGTTTTCCAATGGTTCTCTAACTACTGTCAGCTCATGATGAAAATCCTGTAACCAATCAAATCCCAACAAACCAACACTTGAATAATACGAGTGTTATTGATCAATTACAATGAGATGGGAAATGAGACGAGTGTTTTTACAGTCATAATCAACTTGTTAGAATGTTGTGATATGATTGAAGTGAAATAAAATTTTGAGACTATCTATTATCCTCTTCTGATTTGACTGGCGGTAATAATATCTTCCATATTTCTGGTATTTGCATTGAGTCATTTCTGTTGCATGTGTTGGGTGTAGACTCAATGAACAAGGATTCAGTAATCAATCTCTCTCTCCACTTACATAGATTACTTCTTAGAATCTTAACCCTCTCCCACCCTATTGTATGGTTTTGTGTAAATGCATGCAGTGCTATTGCTGAGCTTTTTTCTAAATTAATAGTTAATATTAATATTTTGATTACAGCTTGATGCCACACCGTATTTTCAGTACAGGTATGGAATTTTCAGCATGGATATCGGTAGCCCAAATTTACAGGCCGACCATAGATATCGGGTGTGCGCCGGCAGGGGATCGAACCCCGGACCATGTGCATGGTCAGCGAGAGTCCTAACCACTGTGCCACCGAGGCACTCATCTTCTCGAGGTCAACCATTCTTACCTTAGCTAAATTCTTGTTCCAACAATCTGATTACCCCCGATCTACTAGTTTGACCTATATAGCTGACCTCATAGTCATTGCAAGGTATTTTGTAAATTACATTATTTTGTTTAATATTTGTTTTATTTGAATATGAGCAATAAACTGTGATCGAAACGTCATGAGTTAATATTACTGTATAACACTGTGATTTATCAAAATAAATTTTATCCACAATGGAAGACCTTTTCATCTCTAGCTATAACTGTGTCACCTATATTATTTAGACGTACGCAGAGACAAAATAGAAGTATCAAAGGAATAAACTTTAGAATGTTCAGAAGGAAAAAGGACATAGAAGTTTCTTCTTTGTTTAATTCAAATATCTAATCGATTCCACAAATGTATATAAATGAAGGAAAAAGTTGTGTGAGTAACTTGATATGATTATGAGCAATAGTTTGTGCTCGAAACGTCATCAGTTAATATTACTGTATAACACTGTGTGATTTATCAAAATAAAATCTTATCCATAATGGAGTTATACTCTACCACCACAGTGCCCAAGTTTTATACTTATATCAGTAAAACCAGATATATGGAAAGTAACAAATGCATATATCTGACGAATGACAGTCAAGTATATATATGACATTACCTCATGAACTTCAACACCTTTTTCAGCTGCAATATCTTCTACAGTTTTTGAATTCTCTGAAATGATTCCAACACCTTTAGCAATAGCTTTTGCCGTTATTGGATGATCACCAGTTACCATGATAACTTTGATACCAGCTGATCGACATTTAGCAACTGCATCTGGTACAGCTGCTCTAGGTGGATCAATCATAGACATTAGGCCAACAAAACGTAGTCCAGTGGTTGGGAAGTTTAGTTCATCAACGTTGAAATCATAGTCCCTGAATGTTGTGAATGAGGCGAAAAAAGCAACAAGATTTCACTCACAAAATTATTATTATTATCGATTAGAACTTTTGAATAATGATCTCGTGCAATTCATGCATGATTTCTCTATTTTTTTAATTATTTTTATTTTTATCATTCTTTATTTATTTGAATAAAGCAAATCAATGCTTTGTGCAGAGTATAAGGAGGCTACGTCAGCTGCGTACAGCCTAAGGAAATTAATAAAATTCGTGTAAGGAACAATTTTAACATTTGTTACATGATGTCAGTTGACGGAGGACTATCAACTTAAGTGGCTTATGCACAGAAGTTTCAAGTCTAAACAAAAAATAGATCCTTGGATGCAATCACAAAGAAGTTGCGTAACAAATATAAGAGATGGGTAACCAATAAGTTGAATAACATTGTGGTGGGTTCAACTCAAGCTATAGAAATAAGAGGTAAATAAAATTATGGTATAACGAACTGGAAATAGGTTAAAGTCAAAGATTCCGTATTAAAATAAAGGGGAAAGTAAGGACATTGAATTACCACGATAGGCAGTGACTGATAACTGCTTCTTTCTGAACACAGAAATCGGGTTTTCGGCGTTTAATAGTAACTCCCTTAGCAAACTTGAAGAGAATCCAACTATATTATCCCCTGATTATTTCAAAGGATTTCAGGGTGTCCACCTCGTGATTGGTATCAGCTGGATGCCTGTCACTATTGGAAGCATTGGTTCCCTTCGGATGTAGGCGTTTTGCCTCATATTCAGAAATTCAAAGGTGTGCTCTTCTTTCTGTCATCCCGATGTAGCTGCTTCGGCAGATCCATGTAAATTTGTATGCACAATCAGCGCTAATGTAAAAACGATATTTATCCACCTTTAAATGCACCCAAAGAGGATGTCGTCTGATAAGTAGGAAGCGACTTAGATGCATGGTAGATTCTGGCTAGTGAGGTATACAATCCTCTGTTGACTATTCCGGAAGTATTATCACCTTTGAAATCTAGTCAATACGTTTGTGATTCGCTTTTCCAGTTGGATCTGTCTTATCTTTCTTGCAGTTCAGCACTTTATACTTCAACGGGTCGTTTAAAGTAGATTCTGAAGGTGATAATACTGCAAGAATAGTTAAAATGCGTACACAGCTGATGAGAAACAGACGAAATAAACGATGCTATCATCATATTTCTGAGCAAACCACAGTTTTTGCTTTATTCAAATAATGTGATTCAATCAATAAACATCAGAGACAATAAACTGAAGTGATTCATTTTTATTACATACTTCCAATAAATCATAATCACACAAGAATGATTTGAACGTGTTCAAATGCAAAAACAAGCTATTGAAATTTACTGTGAAGTGACGAGAGAGAGAGACGATGTATTAAAAACAATTCCCAGTCCATTGAAGACTACGTCAAACATTTTTCATTCCTTTGTTTTCTAAGTGAAACACAGGATTTCAAGCCTTAAGCTCTAAATTTTCACAATTGGCAGTGGTTTTTTACGTGGTGGGGTGTTGCTATCTCCAATTCCAACCTTCCCTCTTAACAGGGCTTATTGCCAGCTAAGCGAGGTTAAGCAGTGCATCATTCGAGGACCGAAGTCTGGACTATGACGTGTGGCATGATTGGAGTACATTCTAACGGTGAGTCGCCTGATGCATTCATGGAACAACAGAATAAAAATCTTACTTATTATAAGTTTCAGCTGGTAAACGATAATCACAGAATCCAAGTACTCTTTCACCCATTCCACCTAATTCTAAATAGGCTGTGTTGAACTGTTCACGTTTTGTATCATCCATAACTTCTTCTTTACCATTGATAAGAATTGTTGCACATCGATCAAGAATACGTTCAGGTGCACCTTTCATTACTAACAACAAACGATCATCGTCATCATCAGTTTCATGAATGGATAACTATAAAAACAAATATATACTTGATAGGTAACACGACGTTACAGAACAATTTAATATATAACCAACTAAATTCCAGATATATTAGTTCATTATACCAGGAACATGATGAATCACCGCTGTCTTGAAGGTAACAAATAATCAGTTTATTAAAATAGCAACTTAATGCAATTGTGGTGAACAAACTAAGAAGACACTTGGTTTGGACACTAATGTCATTTGTCCAGTGATTGGTCTTGGTGGACAGTAAATTTTGTCGGTCAAGTTTGCAATGTGACCCTACATGCTAGGTGGCTCAGTGGTAATGTCTCTGACCGTAGCACTAGGTGAGCACGGTTTGAATTTCTACAGAAGCGTCAGTCCCATCAAGACTGCAGATACACCTTACTGACAAGTATCAACAGGCACGAAACTCAGATTCTAGGCTTCCTGCCAATTGCCTGTAACCACTTAACATCAATTCAAAGTACACTGAGATCGCCATTCATCTAGTATGGTGGCCAAATCGCGAACTTGGCTAGTAGAATTCAGTCTACACCAAACGAAAGACTAGACGCATGACATTAGTTACTACCTAGTGTTCAATGAAAGCATAATATATTTTCGAAATTTATTGAAATAAAGAAAACATCTGCTAATTTTATCCAGCTACATAGGAATTGAAGACAATTAAACACTTCGATGGAATCACATCTTGTCAATATCAGTTGTAGAGTGGACATAAAGTCTTACATGTCACAGTAAATCAGACAGGCAATACTTTGACATTTGACAAATCTAGCGGGAAATCAATTCTCCACCAATAGTTAGAGTCCCTATGACAAGCAATAAGAATTTTTACTATTTTTCTTGTGCGTTGAAATTTCTGTAGCCGTTTGATTGACTTTGCAGGGTAGGGTCACTAGACCTACACACAGCCCTCATCTTTTCCCGGGCTTAGCACCGGCTAGAAAACTAGCGAGCTAGTACCAAGCTGTCTCATCCTAGCTAGGGACTCTTCATCAGAACGCACCCACCACCACGATTCGAACCCAGGACCTTCTGGTTACGAGGCGAGGTCGTAGACCATTTAGCCACTGGGACCCGATCCAATGGCCCATGAATTCTAACTCCTTCCAATTTATGACATAACTCAACAACTAGCCAATGTCTTCGGCGAGTATTTGTCGTCAAGCCCGACCTGCTGTACCAATTATTTGACTCGTTTGAATTCAAGTTCATAGTTTCTTTTCCCACTTTCATACAAGTCAAAAGTAGTATATGACGTTTATTTTTCGACTGTGTCTGATTGATGAATATGATTTAACACTTACCTGATATTTATTTGTTGAGTTAAATGGAATTTCCAAAATTTTAGGATTTCTACTTCTATAATCACTGACATTGCCAATACAAAGTTCAGTACACTTGAGTATTGCAGATTCTGAAGCATCACCGTTACACTCTCTCTTCAAAACAGGCTTCTCTTCTTCCCCTGCTTTGAATTCCGCTCGGCTGCATAGCATAGCAATACAAGATAAAGCTGTCCATGTTGGAGAAGACTTATCAAAACTTGTACCTGTGAGAAAAAACCATTTTTCCAACAAAAAAATACAAAAGTGAAATAGTGTTAAAGTGGCATTTTAGGTTTCCAAACAGAAAAATTGTAAATCTCTGGTAAATGAGCAGCTGGTGGAACAATTTGACAATGAATAATATAACCTAATTAAAACAAAATTGTTAACGTAAGAGAATTAGTGTAATGTGAATAGAAAATAATATTACTGATTGTGATGGACTGGATAATTCAGTATGCCGCACGTGAGGAGCGAGAAGACCGAAACACGTTGGACCCACTTGAGGACAGATTTGGATTTCGTGGAAGACTTGTGTCTAGCGCCACATAAAACTCAAAGGAGACTCTACAGATAAAACTCAACAAGCTGGAAGCAGAGGCGGCCGGCAGCGAAGACAGGAATTCAAGTGGACATAGAGAAGACACAGGTGATGACCACCTGAATACCCACCAACTAACAACAACATCAAGCACCAATCACTATCAACGGGAGAAACTCGGATAGGGGTCACTTGCTTTCACTCATTTAAGCAGTGTCGTTTCAATTGCAGAGAGTCGGGTGGATGAAGGTGTTAAAATCAGGCAGTGTCGGAAAGGCAAGACAGACCTTCATTAATCGGGAATCAGTATAGAAATCTACTCTAATCTAATCTCATAAAGAACAAGGTTTCACACTAGTGTCAAGTCATTCGGTTCTTCTCTATGGCTCGAAACCTTTGCGCGAGCGTCACGAAAAGTATTTGGAAGAGGCTGCAGAATTTTATTAACAGCTGTCTTCGCTGCATACTAAATATTAGACAGATGAGTAAGAGGGAAGTCTGTGGAGGAACCAATGAAGAGCTCATAGGTGAAGAAATATGCCTGAGAGGATGTGGATGAACTGAACAGAAATTTGGAAAATCGTTTAATGACACAAGTCGGGCCTCGCTTTAAGGGTGACATAGGGGGGACCGTCTGAGGAGGAGGCGAAAACGTATGGGTATCCGTGAAGGCAGCTAAAGAGGACTTCACAGAACCAGATGACATGGAGATGTCTGCTGAAGCCTTAAGTTCCACTCGGAGCCTTCGGGAATTATAATAATATAGCAATAAAAACTGAAAGGAATTCAATGTTAAAATGTATTCAGTGAGACAATTAAAATAATTCACTTCACCTGACTGATCTTCTGTTGTGTCAGCATCGAATATTTTGTTATCAAACCACATATGTGATACAGTCATACGATTCTGTGTCAGTGTACCAGTTTTATCAGAACAGATAGTACTTGTTGAACCAAGAGTTTCAACTGCTTCCAAATTCTTTACCAGACAATTTTTACTAGCCATACGTTTAGCAGTCAGTGTTAAGCAAACCTAAAATAAGAGGTAAACAGAGGAGAAATGAAAAGTGAAGGAAAATAGGGTAGAGCGACATCTATTCTCTTCAGGAAAACAGAATACGTGTAAAGAACGATAACGCTTTGGCCTTATGAGTATAATGTGAAAGGAAACTTTAATAAACATTTGATTACTGGCTTAATAAGTACCAGTAACTAATTAGGTTTGCATAATTCCCCTCATCAGTAGTACTATGATTCAACTGAGCAACTTTTGCAACATGATAATTTACTACAACTTTATAAACTAAACAGCCAGTCACACTTAACGTCCCAGATGGCTTTGATGATTCTGACTATTAACTTAAACCGAATCGGACACTATTTGTACCTGTTTAGATGAACAAAGGTCACCACTGCAAAAGTAAGTAGAAGGTATGAAGAGACTAGCTATCTTCGACCATAGGCTCAATTCCTTGTGTTCACTGTGTTATAACACAATCAGTAATAATGAGAGTAAATGTGTTGTTAAGCAAAGAGGGGAATACACTTGATGAAAAATATGAAGTTACAATGACTGAGATGGATAAGCCTTGTGTTATTCATCCCAAGCCACTGTCTTCCCTAAGCAGCACTGGTGATTGATTGACAATGGATAAAGTTTGGAGAAAGTAAAGGGCAGGACAAATCAAAACATGGTACCATTCCACTAAACCTTTGACTGTTGGTGTCAGTCACGTAGGGAGATGTAGACTTCCCAGATGGTAGGGTTCTCGAGATGCTAAGAATAAATGGATAGAGACTATTCGTAACATAGCTCTTAGTACCAAAGATGCACTCATCATTACCTGCGATATTTCAGATTCTGAAAATTCTCACTTTCCCTATTGTAATTATGCTTTTTCACGTACATTTCAGTTTAATGTCGTTTCAAGTATTGATTTGTAGGGATTTGATTACCTAGTTACAGGATTTCATCATGAGCTGACATCAGTTAGAGAACCATTGGAAAACCTAGGAGTACTGAACAGCTGTCTCATCCTAGCTAGGGACTCTTCATCAGAACGCATCCACCGTGGCCAAATCACAAACATGACTGATAGAAGTTAGTCTGCACCAAACAGAAGACTAGACACATTATACTAGTTACTTACTAGTTTCCAGTCAGAAGAAACTTCAGATGCATAAAAGTGACATATTTTAGACACAGTAGAAGAGAAGAGAAGTGATGTTGTTTACGGCAAAATAATGCTATCTTTTGAACTCTGTGTTATCTTATCTCTTATGCTTAGTTGACTAAAGTAGATCGGTGGTGATTAATCAACCAAGATTTCATGTGACATGGTCAAGTCTGGCTAAATGGATTTTTCCATTCAGTAAATAACAAATAATAAATAACTCACCGTAACGGTAGCCAAAAGACCTTCAGGGACATTTGCGACAATAATTCCAATCAAAAAGATGACAGCTTCAAGCCAATGATAGCCCAAAATGAAAGCAATAATGAAAAATGAAACACCAAGAAACACCGCAACTGCTGTGATTATATGAATAAAATGACTGATTTCCTTGTGTATCGGAGTTTCGCCAAGCTCTAAACCAGAGGCTAAGTTCGCAATACGACCCATTACAGTTCGATCGCCTGTAGAGATAACAATTCCACGACATGTGCCTAAAAAGTAGATTTGAAAAAAGTGTATTAATGATTAATTTTTTAACTGCTTGAACATCAGCACTTTGGCTGATTTATTTCAGAAAAATCGCTGACATATGTTTCTAGTGGTTACGATTTCAATCACTAAATGACATCAGTCAGAGAACCACTGAAAGCCAGAAAGAGTTGCGCAGCCATTTCCTCTTAGTTCCATACCCTTCAGCAGCACCCCACTAGGGATCAAATGCGACACCTTCGGTTACCAGGCCAAGCTCGTTGACCATTCAACCACTTCGACCGGAATGCAATGACACGTGAATTCTAACTTTGTCAATTCTCAATTTTAGCACAACCGTCGGTAAATGTTGTCCGTGAGTATTTGTCCTTACACTCGATCTGGCAAACCCCACTACTGGTCACAACTACTAAACTGACTCACCTTGGTGTATATATACATATATATGTATTTGAATGAACACTGAGTTTTATGAACGCCTTTTCTTCAGGAATCTCATCCTCTCATAGTTATATAGACTTTTTAAAGAGTATATAAGCAATTCCCAAAGTGTAATTAGAAGAAGATGGTTTGGAGGGAACACTTGTCTTCGATAAATTCTTTTTCAGGCTCTACAGTTATAAATCCATGAATATAAGAATACAAATAGCCAGCAAAGGCATGTGAAAATTATATCAGAAACTGTATGGGGTTATATCTATAAGATGGAATGACAGTTCGTTAGTTAATATTGTCAACTGAATGTTTATAAAATGTACAGTCATTCAGAACAAGAGAGAGATTTTGAATGGACAACTGTGTGACATACTAATGTTATATCACAAGTGAAGAGAGGTTGGAATTCACGGGTCATTGAATTCTAACCCAAGTGGCTGAACAGTCAACTATCATGGACTTGTAACAGCAAGGTTCTTGGTTTGACCTCTGGTAGGATGGTCATGGATGTGCATTGAAGAAGTATCTCAAAGTAGAACGGAACAGCTATCCAGTGCCCGCTACTAGCTTTCAGTGATATCTATAACTCATGTTGGTTTGTAATGAAATCTTCATTGAAATTATGAAAAGAGGAGTATATCAGACATGTTGGCTACCGCGTATTCACTACTACTCACCATCTACAGCATTTGTTGAGAAGAAAGCCAAATTTTTCGTTTCCAAGGGATTATCATTTGTAAACTCTGGTGTACGTGACTGCGGTTCAGATTCACCAGTCAATGCAGAATTATCCACCTTGGGAATTAAAGGAAGAGTATATATTTATGGGAGTCATTTAACATATGATAAATATACAATAATTTTTAAATTTTCAATGCCATATCATTTTATTCTGTTTGTCATAAATATTGCTCAGAATATCATTTGTTGTGAACAAGGTTGAATAGACTTCACTCCTGTCATCAGAATACTGTTATATATTAGTTTGTATTATAGTATTTTTTTCGTGAAAAGTTCTGCCTACTATTTACCTGTACATAATGTTCATGTTTTCCATAGAAGTAATTTATTAGAAGCGAGATTTTAAAATCTGAATTGAAATAGCTTGAGATATTAATGCAGTACAGCTTACACTCTCCATTATGTTGAAGAGGTAAAATCTTCCATCCAGAATATAACTTAAAACAGTCTTTCATCTGGAAATACTCTCCTGTGGCCACGCATTTACAGCCTCTATAAGTGGAGTTGTATTTACTGCTATGAAGAGGCGATAAATATTCTTAAAAAAGTGAAAGAGTCATTCAGAATGTCTGGTGTTTATTACCTGGGGAAGTTTGATTCTAAACAAGTAGTCTCTAGTACCCTTAAGAAAGAAGGCTGTATGAACCTCTATCTTAGTTACCAGACCCTATAAGAACTTAGGTTTTGAGATTACTCTGCAACTTCTTGGATTAGATTTTAAGTCAAAGAAGTAGAGTAGACCCTTAAGACAAGCATTTACTTTACATTATTTGTTTGAACAATAACTTTGTAACATTTGATTTCCGTCATATTCCCTTTTTAACACAACACTCGATAGATAGAGTGAGGAGTTTTAATGGCAACCAATAAAAAGAACCCATTAGCCGTCCTACCCAAATTTAGGTAAACAGTAAGTTTAAAAGTTGTTATGCAATAGTTTAAAGTTAAACCTACCATTATGTTGTTACTGATTGGCTGTAACTTGACTATAAGGTCTGATCATATACATTCTCCTCTTATTGTTCTTACTCACATTTGAATTTAGAACCTTTAGCTATAAAGACCACAGTATTATTCCCAAGGTTTAATAGGCAGGTATTTATTATTATTTATTTCAAATCTTTGAATATTCCCATTAATAATATTAGAGCAAGACATATACAAACGAACAATATTGTTGTTTTCAATTTTATCTTCCTCAGGTTTTACTCTAATTTACACAGATTTATATATAAAAATTTTAGCAAATGACGGTAAGTTTGTGGATCAAATAATGCTGATAATAATAATAATAATTTTTAAGTATTGTTTTGTAGGGATTTTGTTTGATTGGTAGGAGGATTTCATCTTGAGCTGACATCAGTGCAGCAGGTACCATTCTCATCGAAGAAGATACTGTGAATTAGTAGAGCTATGTCATGAACTGGAAGAAGTTAGAATTCATGGGCCATTTTATCGGGTCCCAGTGGCTGAATGGTCTACGAGCTCGCCTCGTAACCAGAAGGTCCTGGGTTCGAATCCTGGTGGTGGATGCGTTCTGATGAAGAGTTCCTAGCTAGGATGAGACAGCTCTTCAGTACTCTTAGGTTTTCCAATGGTTATCTAAATGATGTCAGCTGATAATGAAATCCTCCAACCAATAATAATAATGTGGTAAATGTTTTAAACGTCCTTAATAACAATAATTATAATGATAACAAAATAATGATAATCAGGTTTATGCACGTGAAGATAAGAATAACAAAGGTAGTAATATGTATGTATGTAGACAATTCAATAAATAAATTAGGTCAAATCTCGAAAGTTGCGTAATACTAAAGGTGAAATAGACAGATAATCAGAGTTTAAATAAATATCACAAAAGTACGAAGGAAATGGTAAATAAGACAGGGTGGGAGGTTTTTAGTTTACCTTTACCCAGGCCATGGGAGAGACAAAGGTAGAACAAACTTCTTCTGTATGCAAAGACTAGGATTGTTCTCTCGAATTCCCTCAACTTTCGCTACGAGTAAAAAGCGGGTTCGAATTCTGTTCGAAAGGCTCGATGGAATGCTGTAGATAACTTTGAAGACACTACTTCTGTCCACTTGGTGACCACTGTCAATCAAATCAGTCGGCCTTTTCCGAACAATGAATGAAGATGTTCGTTAATGTTGCATTTGTTGAGCTGTCTAGTTGTTCGCCATATATAGCTTTCTCAGAAGGAGCAGCTAAATTTGTAGATACACATAGAAGTGACACAGCTAGGTAACTTGTCTTTCGCTTGAGCAATCATGACTGGTCGGCTGGAAAATGACAAACAAAGGTTGGTGACAGTATAAATCTATTTCATTGCTCTAGATAATCCTAGATGTAGGACTTCGCTAGCCACGCCCCCATTAAATTGCGATTTTAGGAACAGTTGTCTCTTTTTAACTTTTGTCAGTTTCTCTTTATTATACCTGGTGTTCATGTGCCTGTCGCCTTACAAATTTACTAGGATCACCCATTTGAACCAGAATATTTTCGATGTGTCCTAATTCATTTCCTAGGGAGTCATCTGTACATATCCGTCTTGCTCTATTCGTGAGGCATCTGGTACAAAATTGGGGAAATGTGTATATTGTCCTACATATATAGGTTTTCTATAGACTTCTCTCTTTAGTGAACCATCCTCTCTTCTAATCAATTGGAAATCAAGGAAGTGTAGTCTACCACACATTATTATTAATATCATCTTCATTATTTGATCCACAAACTTACCGTCATTGGTTAAAAATTTTATACATAAATCTACGTAGATTAGAGTAAAGCCTGAGGAAGATAAAATTGAAAACAACAATATTGTTCGTTTGTATATGTTTTGTTATAACACAATTTATTTATCTAATTATACAGCTCTTCGAACCAAAACTGATAAGAGAATGAAAGTTGATTGATATGTAACATGAAGATTACTACAGATTTTATTATTAAGCAATGTTACTTTTCTAATTTATCAAAAGAAATTTTATTTTCATACTAATAATAATAATTAGTGATAAACGTAGACATACCTTGAATGAACTAGCTGTAATAATGCGTATATCTGCTGGAACACGATCGCCAAATTTCACTTCAGTTATATCGCCTACTACTAGATATTGTGCTTCGATTTCAATCTTTTTACCGTCTCGTATTACAAGAGCAGTCTAAAAACCAAAAAAGTGTATTGCGTTGTAGTTGAAAGTGGGAAATAATGAAATGTCATCAGATAGACCAAAATTTTTTTTAATAGTTCCATTTGATAGGAAAAAAGAGGAAGATGCTCAGTGAAGATGTTTTCGTCATGAGATTTCATCCTCAAAAGCTGTACAATCGTATTTTTATACATTGAGTTGCCGAGAAGAACACGAAACCAAGGCCCAAAATAGAAGAATGCAGTTCGGTGCCAAAGGAAGCTGGACTTCAGAGGCGACTAAGATGCAGATATCCTAAGGATGACAATCTCTAGTTCTCTAAAGAAAATCTTTCCTGCAGCGGCGCTAAGAGTGATATTCTGTAGTAGTCGAATGTTTCTAAGCAATGTGGACATACTTCCGTTTATGACCACTCAAATGTGCATATAACAATTCACCTTCTTATGGAGCTCGATACATAGATGGTTCTACGCCCATCTTTTCTAAACGTGTTAAACAAACCCAGCATGGCTACAAAGAGGCGGCACTGGTTCAGTCAGAAGCACTATAACTGAACACCTCATTAGCAGTTCTCACAAAGTCTCCAAAGACTCATCATGCAGAATCATTTACAAACCGGACAAAAGTCTACCAGAGCGAAAGTGTTTCCGACTTCTTTGTACTCCAGAAACCTTCACCGTATATATTAAGAGTTTGGGGCCATATGTTCAAAATAAACTAGTCCAACCTTTTAATTTACCATGGATCCAGTTCTTTTTGGCTGCTTAGTTTTCGTTTGTTTTATGTTTTCATTCCCTTTATTTTTCATCTTCACTAATAAAGAAAACTGTTACTTAAATTTATTTCCAGCACAACCCGTTGATATTATTATTATTGACTCCTTTAGTTTCTAGAGGAACATAGAACTTCAGCCACACGTCTCCCCCAACGTTTCCACCTGGCTCCACATCTGCCCATATGCCTTCATCTCCCCT